ATTTCGCGCGCATACGCCGTTGCCTGCATGTTCCGAGCTCACTATTTCGTGCCTTCACGTTGCAAATCTGGAGTGAGACAAAGTAATTAGAGTGAGACAATGTTAACATTGTCTCACTGATGAGCGAATTGGCCACTTTGCTTTCTCAAATCAGTGAGAGAACATGTACATTGTTATGTAACTGTAGGAAAAAGTGAGTAAATGCAGCAATTGGCTACTTTGCGTGCTATAATTTGTGCAAGGAAGCCCACTTTTACAGGAAACTGTGGGGAAAATTAATTTGTAATTAGGTTTTAATTGAAACAACATTAATTTAAAAGTTGTATATTAAATTGTTTAAAGATAACCAAAGGCTGAACGTTTCAATTACCATTCCATTTACAATTAAGGATATTTCATCGAATTTCGTTTATCAGAAGGACTTTTATCATAATTGGTTTTTTTTGTAGCGTTGAACTTCAATTTAAACACCCTTGAGCAAATTATAAAAACAGCTCAAAGTAATTTTGTTTATTCTAGGAACCACTCGTATATTGATCCACTGTGCTATTAAATGCAAATAAGCATAACAATACAAAGAACCTGTATGAATTTCGGAAACACATTAATGTTGTTTTTGCTGAAAGAATTTAAAATATGTGTTGCATTTAGGTAGAAATAATGAAAAAGTAAGTATCAAAATAGTTACAATACAATGTAATGGTTAACAAGGACTTCACTTTGGATTGTTTGTTAACATAAAACTGCTAGTGTACATGCATATCATAGCTGTTTGAAGTGAATATTGATAGACATTAAAATTACAATTTCAAATATAATGGAAAGTTATTTAGTTACTGTACATCGAAAAATTAGTGGAACCCTAATTTCTTCTCTTCACCCATCTCTCTCAGTATGAAATAATTTCTTACTTAGATACATTGACAGTCGGTAAAATAGTATAGCCTAAATAATATGTCCATCCATTAGCTATCTGATAAGATCTTCAACTTATAAATAACTAGGCACCTACCAACGATATTCCTAACTAATGATTTGTATTTTTTTGCGAAAAGAAAAGCTATTGTATTTCAATTAGAAATGGAAATAATTGGTTGGAATAAATAAACACCTTGATCATTGGCTCAATTATCCTGGACAATAACTTGGCAAGAAGCTGCGCTCAGAACCTACAACAAGGTCTGCGTATAAGATCCCCTGGACTATCAACTAGAGATCAAAGGGAAGAACAGGTTACGATAGTCAAACGGATCTCATGGACATGGTTCACTAAGAACCTGGGATTTGACGGAGAATGAGGACTTGTAAATGAGGGTGCACAATAGGGTGTTCCCGCTGCGAGGCAATCCCATGGTCTACTTATAAGCATAGTCTTCTATAATAAAAGAAAAACTTGGCAAGCAGCTGCTCTTAGAACTTAGTGCCCTCTTCCCTCGCTGACTTCTGGCAGACATCGGCACTCACCACGTCCCTCTCCACCACCAGGTGACTCTCGACTCAGCCTTTGTGGATTAAACTCTCTTAGAAGTTATGAGTAGTGATTTAAAATATTAAATTTTAATTAATTTAATTTAATTTATTTAATTTGTTAGTAATTTAAAAAACTTTAAGCGAACCTGCCGACTAAGCGAATTTTTACCTGTCCGAATTGATTTTCAATTAAAACTATTTAAATAACTCTAGGATTAACGAATACATAGGTTTTCTGCTATAAGGAAACTAATAAAGTGTGATTTTTGTAAAATATTAATAGTTTAGTATAAAATAAACAAATTTTTTATGTTTGACAATAACCGTTACCAAAAAGACCTTATCAAAAAGACTTTGATATACAAAATTACTTGTTTTTAAGCTATTTAAAAGATTTGGAGAACAATTGGAAAATTTTTTGTTTCGAAGGTGAAAAATGAGAAAACCCTATTTTCACCCCCTAAACCCTCCCGTAAAACCCCGTTCCCATGGTCCGATCATGCTGGTTCGTGAACTCGTTCAAGTTCATTCCACTTTACCATATTTCATCAAAATCAGACAAAAATTACTCAAGTTATCGCGTTCACGGACACATATGTATATCTATATAAATAATATATATATATATATACTGTATATATATTTGAACGAATGGTGTTTTTGGCCTCTAATGACAATATCAAAATGTAAAAGTAAATCGGCCCCGGGCCTAGGGTTTACCGTGTCACCTACGGTAATACGATTTATAGTCAATGGTAATAATGTAACTACTTCACTATAGTGATATTACCCTATTACCCTATTCGCTAAAAAACTGTCGTAGGTAAAGTAGTGTAAACAGTCTAATGTGATCGTTGGCTAAACTACTATAACTTTACATAAACATTTGTTTAGTGTACACAGTCATATTTACTCTATGCTACAATGCTTTAAATAAATGTATCATGATTTTTTTATTACTTAAAGCAGCAACTAGTGAAGTGAAATATCAACAACGGTATGGCAAAGCCTTTACAGAGCCCAATAGAGCGTTTTTATCCTTACTTTACTGTCTGCTCAAGCCCACTACAAATATTATCCTCTCGAGGCTTATCATCCGCGATCTAGTTCTTTAGTAAATGTTTACTTGGGAGAGTAATATAAAACTCATCAGACTTTCTCTGCGTAAAAGGCTCTCATATCAAAATATGAATTATTACTGTTGTCAAGAACGAGATCGTTTGTATTATTTTCATTGATAAAATGGTTGGTTTTAATTTTTTTTATTTATTTTTTTTTTTAATTTACTATAAAGATTTGTCTGTTAGGATGTATATGGTTCCCAAACTATTTAGTGATAAAACGATTCGTTTGACCCTAGAATCATCCATTGTATAAACATTGTATAAAAAAGTTTATTCTCAATACCCCAAATACATAAAAAAGTTTTTTTTAATTGCATGTAGAAAAGCAAAGTTTGGGTATGAATTAAACCCCACTATCTTTATAAAAATAGTGTATTATTTTAATAAATCTTAATTTTAAAAATCCTTCTTTGCTGTGGTTATAGTGTGATATTTTGTGTTTCATAAGGACTTACTCAATCAGAAAGCATTGTTTCCAAAACTGTGAAAGAAAATTTATCTAAATCTAATTAATGGTCTAAACCTTATTCACTGGTTATACCCAAATCTGTGATCCAGTGAATGGCCGGTTGTTTAAACGTCTAATGGTCAGGGTTTCGACCTTGGAATGAGTAAAGAATTGTACCTTTACATATTACAATACAGTGTGGAAGAAGTTAGTGTTAGTAGTGTAAAAGATTTTATGTGTTTAACTGTATTGGTGACAAAATGGCACTAATTTAGATTTATTATTTGTAAAGCGGCTATTGCCATATTATTCAAGCAAATATATGTTATTTTAAAGTAATGCGATTTTGGCCATTCCGTGTTTTTCAAGAGAAACTCCTAACTTTAAGAATGAAAAAGCAATGAACTAGTAGGTTGTTGTACATCATTTGAAAGGTTATGAAGTAAAGAAGTTTTTAGTAAAATTGTATACTCTCTATAGTCCAGTTTAACGTAGAAATACTTATGTATAGGTTTTTTCTATTTTTCTCAAAAATCACAAATTTAAACTTCCGTTGCAGAATAAAGGCTTATTCAGATGTTTCATCTCAAAGAGCCTGTGCTATTGCTATTGGAAATTTAATGAGCATTTTCAAAATAACAATAAAGTTTTAATAAAAAAAATCTTAAGTGCACTTATGGCCATTTTATATATGGCCATACAATATGGCAAATACAAATAGTTTGAAACAATATTAATCTGTCTGCTATTCCTTACCTGTGAGGGTATGGAAATCTAAATTAGTGCCATTTTGTCAATACTAAGTAGTTTAACACATAATAATGTTTAACACTAACTTCGTTCCGCCCTGTATATTGCAGTTGCCATTAATATTCAAAAACCATGACAAATACAGTCAACCTTGATTGTACTAGACTAAAATGGCAGTCAACCTTTTGTGGCACACCAGGATGATTGACACTTTCTTTTTGAACCAGTGATAGGGTAGATTCCAATCAGGCACCAAATTAGTTTTTAACAGTTTGTGATAAATTAAGCAAAATAAAAAGCTGGGACATGATATTTTATACGGAACGGTAATTCACTGGTGCACTCACCTTACAAATCATGCTTTATCTTTTTTATATTATAACCTTAAATACAAATTTTTCAAAATGTTCTTAATTTTTGAACTAATCCTAAGTTATTTATTTTAACCCGAGTTCCATAACTTTAAAAAGCTGGTACTAAATTGGACAAACTTTCCTTGTATTTCGAAATAGAATCTATGCTACAAGGAGATATGTATTTGGATAGTTACAGAGCTATCTACAGAAATCAGAACAATAATTTCCATTTCTGATATAGCTCTGGAGTGTAATAATCCTAACTCAATTATTGTTGTAATCCACTTTGGGGTAAACCACCACCGCCATTTTGAAGATACTTGTCTAATAGTTACGACGAGCAAGTTTAGTCTTGATGATAAATGTTCGTGGCGAAAATCAAAGGCAATAAAATAAATATTTCTTCCTTTGTCAGTGTAAAAAAGTTGATGACATTTGTTTACCAAATTTTAACAATGAAAACTTTAAACACTGTAACAATCCTGTCTGTACACTAACCGTCTTTAATTAGTATACAACAGCAGAATGAATATATTTGAGTTTAAAATATAATTTTACCTTTTTATAGTGTTTGTATTGTTTCTAGCTCATTCCCAATTGTTTTTGCTCAAATTAATTTTGCCAACAAGCTTTTTAAATTATTTGCTATTGTATATTTCATATAAATTTAGCTTTCTGTAGTTCTTTGTTAAGTTATTTTTTCTCTTATACTCACTGTATTTGGCTTGGTACCCGTTTCATTCACAATCCTTCGAAACAATAACCACGCTAGAGATGTACCATGATAGGGTAAACCAACGACACTTTAGGAATTATAAAACATTTATTATCAACATATATAAAAATTGAAAGTTATTTAACAGAGGGTGTAGATGTGGATGGAGCGGAGACCTGTTCAGTAGGCGGAAGTTGTTGGTTTGGGAGGAAGTCAACATAGACAGATTTCCGGGGACTGGAGTCTAGCTGGAACACGATCTCCTTGAATGAAGGTCGGTCGTCTGCGGACTGACTCCAGCAAACCTCCATCAGCGAATATCTGGATTAACAAGTCATTTGAGATGTGGAGTAAATGATACTACAGTGAAATAAACACTAAGAGGGAACCCGTTAAGAAAATACACAAGCACTTCAGTTTAAAAGTTGTTGAGCTTTTCATCACTATTTTGTCAAAGACAAATTTCTCAACACGTTTTGAAATATAGGTTTGACCTCTTCTTTAGGTGGGACAGAACCTAAGTCAATATTACTGCACTGACTGGGTTAAAGCTGGAAAATCACAAAAGACAAACCAATCTAAATACAACAGTCGGACCAAGCAAGAAAATTCATGATTGAAAAATTATGCAAATGGAGAGTTGACGTTAACATTGGACACTTCTGAAAAAGATTAAGGTTCAAGTAAAAAAGTTCCTGATTTTGTGTGAGATTCTTGTTAGTTTTGGGTACTTTCTAGTCGAGCACAATATCAAACTAAGGACCCAAAACAACATGAGAACTGTGTTTAACTATCTGTACTGGACAATGTCCGCAATACTCCCTGAAATGACGTCAACTCGCCATAGTGCTCGCCTAACAATCAAAGGGTTGCCGGTCCAATCCTGAGAAAAGTCTGTGTATTTTAAAGGACCATCAAAACTGGACCCAGCTATCCCTGGTCATTGGGCTAAATGGGCTAAAGAAACAGCTGATCTTAGTCAGTAACAAAGCTACGCGGATCATAACACCTCTTGCTACACTCATTCTTCACTCATATTTGGGTTAAAATACGCTCCTATGCAGCGCCCATCGACATATAAAACTAACGCCCCCATCTCAATTGGTAATAATAATAATAGCCTCAAAACTTTAACCCAAAAATACAAGATTCTTGTGTTGCCTGCTATATATTGTTACTCAAACCTTCACTACTGTTTTATCTTTTACTTCTGGCATTCTTAATTAAATTCATACTATCGGAGCTATCATATTCTAAAAACCCTTACAATTCGTCGGAGATGTTGTCCGGTTTCTCAAGCCTTTTCCCAGAAAGAAGAAACGCTAAAAGCTCGTGGTCTGACACGGTAGGGTATGGAAAACCTCCTGTAACAAAACAATGGTAAACAAGGCAAGCTGTGAAATGTCAAGAATTTTAGGAAACTACACACCAAGAAAGTTGTCTCGATGAACATCATATTCTAGATTCTAGTTTAGTCACGTGTCACACTGTGGTTTAGCGCTGTGAAACTTACGACATTAAGTCGAGACATAAATTTACTTTAAATAAGCACGAAATTTCACTGAGAATAGTGGTTAAGAACTACTAAGATTTTCACTAAATACTTATCAAAGTGTTAAAATTACATTTCATAAGTTATTAAATGAGGTGGGTGTTCGTCAAACAAGACAGTTCGTTAAACATTATATCTTTAATAATCTGTAAAATGTTCACGAGGGAAGTTGATTCAAAATGAAAATACTTCATTGACATAACTACTTTTACATCCATTTTTGTGGTAAACCTACTCACTGCACTGTACAGGTTCATTGTGCACAGTCATAGAACGAGACAGTGTGCATTTACATCTTAGTGAAGGTAAGGACATCCAGACTTATCTCCTCTAAAATGTTATAGTGTACTTTTACAGTGTAGTGGTTCAATTTTGATAAATCCCGCAGGAAAACGCTAAATGATCCAGGCGTCACTCTCGCTCTCACTAGACTGCGTCTTTTCTACATTAACCCAGTGATCAGACAACGCCAAAATGTCACTATTCCTAGCCCCTCTCTTACATGAAAGTCTATATGTATGACTTTTCCCTCACTTATAATTATTCTTCTCTCATTCTCTCAGTAAATGAGGTCAGCAACTCTAGTCATACCCATTGTTAAGCAACTCCATGTTGAGAGTCTGTCTCTACCGATACATACCAAGTGTTAAGCAACTCCATGTTGAGAGTCTGCCTCTACCTGTACTTACCCAGTGTTAAGCAACTCCCTGTTGAGAGTCTGTCTCTACCGATACATACCTAGTTAAGCAACTCCATGTTGAGAGTCTGCCTCTACCGATACATACCCAGTGTAAAGAAACTCCCTGTTGAGAGTATGTCACTATCTATACTTACCTAGTGTTAAGCAACTCCGTGTTGAGAGTCTGTCTCTACCGATACATACCTAGTTAAGCAACTCCCTGTTGAGAGTCTGTCTCTACCTGTACTTACCCATTGTTAAGCAACTCCATGTTGAGAGTCTTCCCCTACCTGTACTTACCCAGTGTGCCAATCTCCCAGAGGACAACACCAAATGCCCAAACATCACTCTTGCTGGAGTAGAGACTGTCCCTCATTGCTTCAACAGACAACCAGCGCAGAGGTACTTTGCGTCTTTTGGTGTTGACGTAGATGCCCGACCTGGACAAGCCGAAGTCGGAGATCTTGAGAGTTTTCCTCTCGTCTATCAGAATGTTCCTGGCAGCCAGGTCTCTGAAACAATTGTTTTGTTACTTTTTTTACTCTCTGCTTTGTTAGCACATGATTCGAAGTTAATTCTTAACCGGGAAAACTCGAGTAGAAAATTTTAACGTAAAAACTAGAATTTATCAATTAAATGTATTTGTAAATACAAAACTATTTTTTTCAAATTTGCTTTGACAGAAGACATGTTTATTTCCAGTAGACTTATTACAAATGTACTGGAAGAGTTAAACATTAGTGTATTGGTCATGTAGAAGTGAGTATCATTACTTTCTAATTGTTAACCATTGAGTAAGATAGAATAGATATCGCCAGAGAAGATCCGCAGGGTGGAGAGCCAACGAATAATTAAACATTTTCTTGTTGTCAATTATATCTATACGATATAACTATCGTTCAGTTTGGTAAGGTTAAATAATTTATGTATAACGCAAATCATTACATGATAGCTGCACTATTTATGGAAGCCTAAATTCAATTCAATTTTATTTTATTTCTAAAACTAGCTACAACTCTACCATAGGAATTAGTTAAATGATTTTTACGTTGTTGTTTTCTATTAAGAAGATTCAACAAGCTCTCTGTTACATACAGAGTGTCCCGGATCTCTCTACCAATATTTTAGGGCATTGCTCCTGAGTAACAAACATATACAAATATCGTATTTAAATAGCCTGGAAGTCCTTAGTTACTCAAATAGCCACCATTTTTTTCACATAGTATTTTTTTTTAATTGGTTAAAGATATTAAATTTAAACTTTGCACAAACATTTATGACAAGTATACAAAGCTACAAAAAAGTTATGACAATTGTTCAAATTCATTAAAATTGTATCGTTTCAATTTAATTGTATTTGTATTTATTTTTTTTTTTTTTAGTTAATATTTTGTTTCTGAAATAGCTCAATAACCGTTGATTTTACAAAAACTTTAACCATTTTGATGACATTTTGTTTTATGATTTTAAAAATGTGTCATAATTTTTATAGATTTGACTTTGTTTTTATGCTTTGTCATAAATTGTGGTACAACGTTTCAATTTCGTATCTTTAACCACATTTTAGAAAAATAAATAAATAAGTGAACAACAAAATGGCGGCTGTTTGAGTAACTAAGGACTTCCGAAAAATTTTAATACGATATTTAGATATGTTTCACATTCACCCATTTCTCAGGAACAATTCCCTAAAATATTGATGGCGAGTTTCAGAACACTCTGTATATAAACTACAGATACAATCGTACTAAATTGTAACTACAGAAAACATTTGATTATTACTAATATACCTATGAGTGATTTGTTTAGCTTCCAAGTAGGACATTCCTCTGGCTATCTGAGAGGCGAAGCTGTGCAGTTCCCTGGGATCAAGCACTACCTCTAGTGTAATCCCGTCCACAGCGATACTGCTCATAGCACCTAGTCACAAAGTAAATGATCTTTAAGCCTTTAGAATATCATCCTATCAAATTATATTGAGAAGCCACTGTGCTTGTTTTAACCGAGAAAAATATAAGGATAAATGTAGAATGGCGTGAAGGTTCCTTGTGGAGATTTGTTCCTGGCAATGACAGGTGTTTCTTAAGCCAGGCCTCCTACCTTAACGCCAATTTATCAAGGATAGGTAGGTTCAATTTAGATTAATCCAAAGGGTCACTGACCTGTTTGGGGATGATTAATTTTAGCTCTATTCCGTATTGCTGGACGGTCATTATTTTGACACAAAGACTCGGCTTTATCTAATATATATTGATGTATTTATTTACAACATGATACTTTAGTTTGGGGTTATGTAAACACACCTAAACATTTCATTACAGACAAAAAATGTCGTGATTTTTATCAAATAAAAAATACGTATAGATATGAGTTTCAAAGGATGATGATTTGCTTGGCTTCTGGGGTCATCAAACATACAATTTAATCGATCCTATGTTCAGTTCCCGCAGGTCTAATAGAATACTGTGAGGACTACGGTAAAATCATATTCGCAATGAAGGAAAATCTAAGGATTTTATTCTGCTTTTTGTCAAAACCGCATATTTAAGTTTCAAATCTGAGTTCATTTACGATCAAATTCCCTTCAACGTCCTTTAAAGTTTTATCATGGTCATCAAATAAGACTCGTTGTGTCACAAAGGATTATCCCGAAACATTCAACAGACTGCAACCGGACTTACAAAGCCTGTTGAACGATTAAGCTACAACAATGGCTTCGTGATCTGTCGAGAAAGATTTGGGTCTGATTTACCAACACCGTACTTTTCTTTTCGTATTTAATGTTTAACCCCTTTTACAAAACAACTTAATACTCTTGATCAAGACACCGCAATAGTTTACTTGAATAATAGATGTATTTGAACTAACCATATTTGCTCAAAAATTATTAAATTACTTCAAAGTCACATGGGAGGCTTATCAAACTAATGACTTGATGGCTTAATCTAACTATTGCTCCACATTATGAGTTTAAACCTAATCGTATATACAGGGTGTTACGATACTTTCTACCGTAACTCCATGGTCATGTTCCTTAGGTAAAAATTGTATATTTCACATAAAAATATGCCCTATCTCGCCCTATTTTTACATAACTTCATATAGCTTTGGAACCACTAGAGGTACCAACTTCAAACTTGTTACGTATATGATGACTAATAAGAACTATTATTTTGCAAAGCACCAAGTTTATGCCTTGTATAATTTCGAAAGGCGGCCATTTTAATCTTTGAAAGCTTAATAACTCAAAAACCGCAGGATTTATAAAATATTTACAAATGACAAAAAGGACGGGAATTTATATTAATTAACTTTACAGAAATGTGCAATTTTAATAGGGTTATATGTAACACAAATAACGGAGAGCAATAAAATTTTCTAAAATTTAAACTAAATATTTGGGCAAATTTAATAATTTAGCAGGTATCACTTTTATAAAAATGAAATTTTCTCCGTTATTTTTGCTATGACCCTTTACAAATTATTTATTTCTGTAAAGTCAATTACATTTCATTAAATTTTGTTGCTTGTAACATTTTTATAAATCCTATGGGTTTTGAGTTATTAAGCTTTGAAAAGTAAAAATGGCCGCCATTTTGAAATTATACAAGGTAGAAACTTGATGCTTTCCAAAAGATTTAGTTCCTATTAGTCAAAGTCCTATTAGTTAGTCCTATTAGTCCTATTCACGTACAAAGTTTAAAGGTAGTACCTATGGTGGTTTCAAAGTTATGTATGGGAAGTTATGTAAAAAATACATACACACTGACAGACGGAAAATGAACTGGGACAGGACATAATATGTTTATATGATATTTTTCGTTTGTTTTTGACCCAAGGAACATGCCCACGGAGTTTCGGGAGAGAGTTTCGAAACACCCTGTATAAGATTTATGTCAAAGCATAAAGAACTTGTATTTCTAAATGATCTTCATGGTATAATTTCGTAAACTATTCAGATTTTTTTGAATTAGTTTTGATATTAATTATAGTACACAAAGATTTAATACAGTTTAATTGCCCTTAACTTTCCTTTGGGTAGGATTCCCATATAAAAATTCTTCTAAACACATTAGATTTCAATTATGTTTGGCTTGCAATCTAATATAAAATCGTCTTGTATGTAATGATGTGCCACTCCCACACACAAGTTATTTTGTGGCGGAGTGAACGTAATTTTGTTTTCAAGATCAAAGTCTTTCTTTTAATAAAAATAATCAACATTTGGGTCATACAGTATTTTCATTTTCCCTTCAATTAGGCTACTAAATCAAATATCATCTGAGAGAAAAAAAAACATTCTATTAATATATATATATATATATATATATATATATATATATATATATATATATGGGCTATATATTGTGATATATTATTTGACACATTTCACGATTAAATAGATAAATAATCAAGCAAGTTAGAAACATGGGTATTATTTAATTAAAAAGCAAATTCAAAGCAGATTTATACACTAACTACAATAAAAAGTATTAAACAAATTTCAGTAATTATAAAAAGTTGTTATGAGAAGTCTATAAAAATCACTAAAACTGTTATTGTAAGTTATGTTTTCTTCTAAGTTGAAGACCTTTTAAACTTGGCATATATGTTAGACATTTTCCGTTCGTTCAAACAACCTCTACCACCGTTTTATAGAATTGTTACTCGGAGAATTACATCCATACTCTAACCTAAATGAGCCTTCTTCGAACAGTTATGAAACCAAACCTGCTTCATGAAACCAAACCGGCTTCATGAAACTAAAGAACACACTTCGATTTTTCCTGCACAATAATCATTTTGATACTGAGGCCAGTTTAATGTTTGATTCGTCAAATAAATACACGGCTGGTGTAGAAAGGTATATTGTTGGCCAGCTGACTATGATTATATCACAACACAAGTCATTAAAAAGAAAACAGCTTAAACTCAGAGTTTAGATCATTTTTATAGACTTGTTACTGTATAACACTTTTTATAATTACTGACATTTTTATAATTACTTTTTGCAGTTACTGCAAAAAAACTGCTTTAGATTTGCTATGAAACCATTTCAATGTTTCTAAGATGCTTGATGATTTGTTCAAATAATCTTAAAATGTGTCTAATAATTTATGACCACTCTGTATATATTTATTGAACTAAGTGAATGAAGCTCTTATACAACGACTCTTGTGCATTTCGTAATACGCAAACGCCTCCTAGACGGCTGATCAATCATTTTCAACATTTGCATGGTGATGAAGAGGAGGTGAGTGCCAAAGTTCTCACAGCAAAGCTACTCACAGGTTTGCCCCACGGGGTCTCAAAGTTTCAATGTAATCCTTATCGAAGCAGCATTTTACACGTAAACAAAGGAATAAAATCAACTGTACTTAAATTTAGTAGGCCTACATCAGGAAACGCTGATAAATTATTGTAACAGTTAATCACGGATATTATAACAGAAACTGTATGGATCATTAACATAAACAAAATACGTCACTCGCTCGAACCTTATACTAATAGCATTAAAATAATATGGTTTTAACGTTTTTTGACAGTTCCAACCAATAATAATAGAAAATTGTTTATTTTCGGACAAGTGACATCATTTTATGTTTATGAGCAATGCCGTTACTGTTCTAATATTCATGCTGTTAATAATCTTGTTATGTACAGCATTATTTCAGCATGCTATTAACATTTTTGTTTCAGGTTGAACCTTATTCATAATTTATCGCCTACTAAACGAGTTAATATTTACTGTTTAATTAGCAGTGTTACAGTCGTTTTATCTTGAAAACTAAACATGTCAATGCTGTAGAGAAAAGTTTAAGCTACTTTCCTTACGATTCACATTATATAAATACGACATAATTGAACAGCACTCTCCAAGACTTCTATAAGAAATCTTATTTGAGTTTTTTATAGGAGCATATTGTGGTGATAAATTGGTTTCGATGAAACCCGTATTACGTTAGAGCCACGATCGACCGATGGGTGGGTTATTTATCAAGCCAGGCTTTCCCAAGGAACGACAAGAGACTATTGCAAAAGTTCTGACTGGACACATCAACACATGAAAAAGTCGATAATCAACGTTTAATTTAGTTCATGATAATTAATCTACTAACTAGTTTAATCTACGAAATTGGTTTATTATTTTATTTCTTTTAGTTCTAAGGGTGTCAGATATAAGGAAATGCCTTTCGTGTTTCCATTTATAAACTTACCATCTCTTACAGGTAAACGTGTATGCACTAATCAGTCACCAAAATGGTAGAAGCCGAAACTATTTTGGTTGAATTCTGTGTTATCACGAAACTGTATCACAAGGGGAAAAATTCATATACCACCCCAGTGGTTGTAAGCTTAAAATGTAAATGCAGGTCTTTGAAAATACATACAATGACACAACTGAGTTTTATACTTCCGTTCACTTGGGACAATGAAAAGCAATTTTGATCAACAATCACTTCATTAAAATTTCCATAATAATTTTCTCTACACAAATAATGTCTCGATTTCAAATTGTAGGTAAAGATAATAATGAAGCTTGGTGGTGAGTGCCAATGAATAATAAAATAATGCCCTGATAGCTCCGCTCAATTGTGTGGACGCCACCTAGGACGCTCTGCGAACACCACCTAGTTTTATTCAAATCATAATTTGCAAATACATCCCATAGCACACCTCAATGGTACTGTACTGAATATAAAATCAGCTGTTGTTACTGAATAACAACAGCTGATTTTATATTCAGTACAGTACCATTTATTAAAATCCCAATGATGAAACACAGCTGAGCCGGGTCCAGTTTCAAAACCAATAATAACTACTGACTAGTAGGATTCAATTGGCGATATTTTAATTGCTAGAAAATAACAATAACCCCTCAGATACCTAACTATAATTTTAAATATCATTTTACTAATTTTTCATAACATCCTTTTGAATTTCCAAAGAACTATATCAATTGAATATTATATTATATGTCAATTGAAATGCTCAATACATTAAGCTGGCACTCAACGAGCCTACGGTTTAAGTCAAACTGAGGTTAAAATCCTACACTGAGTCCTTTCATCCCTTAGATAACATTTCAACCTTGTAGGGGATGAAAGGAGCTTAACTATTGTGTGTTCAATCTTACTTTGCCACAAAGAAGATTGTGGGAATCCCCTCGCTTGATTTTCAAAATGCACATAAACATAAAGCATTGTCGGCAACGAATCACTCAAGATGTCAAACGTACTACTAATAAATAAACGATTTAGTAATAATTTTTTAATTACAAGTGGATAGAACAAATGAACTGTGGTGGTAAATGTGTATGTTTCATGTACAAAGATTACAGTTTCGTTCGATATTTACTAGATCTGGTGGTTTAACAGGAACAGGAAACGACTCGAGTAAATCTACAAACTAGCGAACTCAATGTTGCTCAAGCCCAACCTCAAATGGTCAGAGTTTGTTTTACTAATTATATCACAAATGATGTTTTGCATAGTCAAAGCGAACGTTTTTGGTGGAGTATTAATACATTGACAAAACATGCTGAATAAGAGGACAGTTTAAATATGTCATTCTGTTAGCGAATTTTCCTATAGGGAAGTAGCTATTACCGTAGGTCTCATAGTAACACCTAGGCCCGGGACCGATTTACTTTTTTCAATATGATGTCCCCAGAGGCTAAAAACACCATTCGTTCAAATGTGTCCATCCGTACGATAACTTGAGTAATTTTTGCCAGATTTTGATCAAATTTAGTTTGAAGGTGTAAGGCAGGGTAAACTTGAATGAGATCGCAAACCAGCATGAGTTTATGGAGGGTGTTATGGGGTAAAAATTGGGTTTTCCCATTTTTGGCCCAAAAAAACATAAAATTTAGCAATTTCTTTCCAAACTGTTTTGTAGAGCTTAAAAAAAATAATTTAGTATATTGAAGCGTTAGCATGTGCCTAATGGTTGCGGATAAAATTCCAAAACATTTTAAATTGTAAATTCCCATGTTCTTATGTAGAGTAAGTCAACTGTTGTAGTTTGCTTGTTTATGAAAATATTTTGATCAAAACTGGAAAATTCATTTATTATTTATTACTGGGGGATTATCCATAAAAAAACAATTTTACCCTCCCTCTTGCAGCAAACCTAAGTACTTGTTAAACTAAATCTGTGTCTTCATAAACCTTCCCACAGTTTCTAGAAAAAACCTTTGTATGTTCGGTTGAAATATGTTCAGCCGTTATTGCGTGATAATGTGCGAATGTGTGTATTGTAGTCAATTTCTTTCCTGTCAATGACCTATCCTAAATTAATGCTAATAATAATATTGTTTGCTTACTACAACGTGTGGAAGGCTGAACACTGGACGCACAGCTAGGCGGAGGAAGAGGTGTGATATAGGAACAATCTGAAGATACAGAACTCCTGGAAATCAACATACGACCATATTATGATACTGATTCAGTATTAATTCATAGTAAACCCTCATGAATCCTGCCTAACATTGGGTTTAAGCTTGTGGAATTAAAATAAAATGAACTAAACCTACATAATATGGTTCGAAGGTCAAATCTCGGTCTTCAGATATAATCATGAGTTAGATTAGTGATATCGAGGACGCAGGACTTAATATTATGGGGCCGTTTCGTACCACCATTGATTAATATTAAATCATTAAATTAATTATACAATTTAATATTAACATTAAATTGGTTGATTGATATAATTGGCCCTTTGTATATTCCGAAACACCTTTTACCAAACAAAATTAATTATGTACTAAAAATCATGAAAACAGCAAACTACTGAAGTAAGCATTGTGTGTGTCTACAGTGGCGCGTTCCCAGCCTAGGTGTATAACAGTTTTTTAATCGCCGTAAAAGGCTGTCTAGGTTAAGTGAAGTTAATATTTGTGAGTCCAGATAAATGATGTTTGCTGTATCTTCTTGCCCAAATGCAAATTATAACAATAGAACCATGCCACTTAAAGTATTTAATTAATTCAGCATCCAAACCCAAACGTTGGGCAAACCAAAAAATCTACTTGTTTACAAATCGCTTATTTAACTCTATGCATGGAGTCCTTCAGCTTTAGCCTACGAAACTCACCCAGCTGCTACACTGAACTGTTGTAGCTGACGATATCTATCATGTTGAGATCTCAGCTGTCTAAGGTAGGCAAGCAGGTCACCACAAGGTACATACTCCATGATCATACAATATGGATGAGTCAAGGTACAGCAACCAACCATCGTCACAATATTGGGATGGTGGCCTACTTTTTTCATCATAGATATTTCTTGAAGAAACTCTTCTACCTCATCCACTGTGGCTTTATCTGTAACAAGAGGCTTATTCGATTAGACAGTAAAAAAGAAAATATTGCCAGTCAATAGCATACACAAAGCTGTCAGCACTATTGATTTGATTATATCCTAAACTCTTACATGAACAATGCATCGCTTTTATGTAGGTGCTTAAACAAAGTTTTTTTTAAATGGATACGATGATTTCCTTCAAATGTTGTAAATGATTTATTTCTGGTCTACAAACGTGTTTCATGCCGTGAAAACTGCCAACGAAAATCTAATTATGTAAAAAAAGAAATTGAAAATCAAACATTTTTATCAGTGAGGATACTTGGGCAACGAAATAACAACGAAAATCGTAAACCTCGAAAAAGAAAAAGATATAAAGTCTAATTATAAACTAACCTTAAACAAACAGGTCATCAATTTATGACTGGAGGACAGTGAGATGCTATCCTGTCCTTATAACTGGAGTTGGTGCGTAATAGTAAACCAGCGGCACCGTTGATTTTATTAGGTTGGAAAGCTATAAAGCTGTACTACTCTGTAAAAAGTCCCCTTAGAGGGAACTTTTCATAAGTTATATTATATCTACCATTCTACTACTTTTTCCTAATAGGAATAATAGAAGGAAGAATTGTAAAACTACATGTCTTGTTATCTTAAAGACGTGTACGAGGTCACAAAAACTCTTTTCTCAGTTATGTTTCCATTCCTTCTTTCTTTATTTTGCAGAGATGTGTCCCCTTTTATTTCTCTAGCCAATTCCTCTAAGAATGCCGTAAAATGTAGCGTAATAATTTGCACTAAAATAAGTGTTTTTTTTTATATATACAGGGTGAGTTTTTTAAAGTGATCCAATAGCTAACATTTTAATTACAGGACTTAGCACCTCACTTTAAATTTGAAACTTGCTCAGTTTTTTTTAAATAAAACATTTTTGTTCTTGACATTTTTTCAATATCTCTAATAGTTAAGGAGCTACGAGGACAAATTGTTAAGTATTAACAGTAACAACACTTAAAACTAACATTGTTTTAAAACATGCTTTAGAATTCATGCAACTTTGTATGAAAACTTTAAGTCCTCGTAGCTCCTTAACCGTTAGAGATATTGAAAAAATCTCAAGAACAAAAATGTTTTATTTTTTAGAGTAAAATCTAAAAACAAAATAATATCCAGGGTGTTCCATAAGAAATTTTAAAGTTGGCTGCCATATTGGAAAATGGCGGCCACAATGAAAAAATCTGAAATCGTATTCTTGAGTGAAACTTAAAATTGAGCAAGTTTCAAATTTAAAGTGTGGTGCTAAGTCGTGTAATTAAAAAGTTAGCTATTGGATCACTTTAAAAAACTCACCCTGTATATAAATTGAAGTTAAGTTAAGATAAGTCTCCGTTTTGTACTAACAAGTATTTCCCCTTATACAGTTTGTAAGCCTTTGACTCATAACATAGTTTATTTAATTTACGCTATTACCAATTTCTGAGTACCACTTCCTAAAGTGTATACGTCACTTACGTTTAAGTTTCTTGACAGCAACAATGGAGCTTCCTGCGACCCCAGCGATGGCCTCAGCTCTGGCCAGGAACACTCGGCCGAAGGCTCCTTTGCCGATCTGCCGGCCTAAGGCCAGTCGATTATAACTCACTTCATATCCATCGGCCTCTCCCTTCTGCCGAGCTTCCTATAGGAAACACAGAGACAGGACCTAAGGAGTAATTTTTGGAGGCAAGTAATACATGTGAACTAAACCGTATTTATGAAACAACAAGTCCAAGCTTCGCACAAGGCATTGACTAGTTGATCTAAACTGTTACATTATGAGCTTGGCTAGTGACGTGGTTAGGGAGAAAGAACTACTTCTTGGAAAATTGCTGTCATTGTTTGTTTTTTTTTTTTTTCATTTTACGTTAATCTTTAATAACTTGAATGCTCAATTCTTACATAAAAGCAATACCATACATGATTACATGGATTATTTCATTAACCATTTAAAAGATAAGCTGCATTCCAAACAAAAGGTTTACCTCTATTTCCTTTTCTACATAAAGAATGTTTCTCTGATGTAGATGCGGAAATGTAACTCTTGCAGATCGTCCACTGAAACAAAACAACATGTTAGAACAATATGTTTAATTTCCGTTGCACAATCTTAAATGAACATTCTAAACACATTATTTTACAAGATTTGTTAAATATTGCCAGTAAAGATAAATCCTCCTATTACTATGAATAACTGTTACGTAGCAAATTTGACTAATTTGATAACAGTGCATAGTCATAAAGCTGTAATTTATCATCAGGCTTTTAATAAATTATCATGGTTAAGAAAACAGCTGGTATTGTCAAAATCTTAAAGCTATACGAGGCATCTCAGCCAACCCAGGTCCATCTTTTATTTATATTCAGGTTATAACCGACACAGCTGTGCTTTTGTAATAGAAAATAACATAGTGATTTAGATTATTGTCTCAAAAGAAAATCACATGATATCATTTTAAGTATTAACATTAACATAATATTGATGTCTAACTACAAACTAATTGCCCAATCGATTTTTTCCTGAAATAAAGTCTTGGTATAAATAAGAATGTTAAAGTAAAATATAATTGTCATGCATTTTTCAAAACTTATAAAAGGAAGTTTTAATTTCTCATCCCACCAAAATGATTATGGCTATCGAATGTTAATCAAATACTAACTAAGGACTGCTGATATTGGCAATTATTTGAAAGTGTGACGTGTTGAATCAAACTGATTGTTATTAGCTGATCAGATTAGCTTATCGAAAAAATATTTGTTAAATACTTTATGGACATTTCTCTACATTAAGAGTATTTTAATTTTAGGTAAGTAAAGATTGTCTGCATACACAGGAAGAATTTTGCTTTACGGGTATCAAATTTGAACTGAACCGATACAATCAAATACCAATTGTAAATAATTTAAATAACTGTCCATATAATAAATTAAAATAGTTTTCCAAAAAATAACCATTGTATAAGTAGAACAGTTAATTACCCGAAGTTAGATAAAGAAGAAAAATATTATATTTGCCATTGAAGTAAAATTATATTGGAGAAAATCCGTGTCTTTGTTCCTATATTAGAACAAAGAGAAATTTTTAAAACTGGTTAATGCTTGTGAACAAAAGCATTTGTTGAGCACGTTTTGCCAATACGTCATGGTCATATTTATCCAGAGTGAAACTCTGCAAACTATTGTTGGATCCCTTGTTTCGCTACAAACTGCAAATAACAGCTATTATTCAAGGAGTAATAAAGTTTGTTAGCGTGATATGTGATTAAGAAACTTGAACTTAGCGATCAATTTGTAATTCCGATCAAAATGCTCTTTGTTGAATGTTTGCTGAAGTTATGCAGGAGATTGCTCAACAGCGCATTCAGCCTTTTAACTTGTGATCAAACCAACTACTCATCAACTTTAAGTGATCAAAGCTTTGGAAGTTGACCGGAGATCAAACTATTACTGGAACTATTCAAGTTCCGTCGGTGGAACTTTATTAGCAGCATACGTCAAATTTGTCTTCTGAAACATCTCATGTGACCCAAAATTTTGAATTGTCTTATTTCAGTAATTAGTGATATAAACATTTTTCATGTTAAAAGTGTAGGCTATATAAAGCTTATTTTAAACGTTGATTTTGTTCTTAAAAACTACAATTAAAGTAAAAAAAATAAATACATTGCAAAATATAAAACGATATTTATAAATAGTTCACAGTGAATACGGATTTTTTAGGGAAGATGTAAAATTGCGTATTTACGCACACTGGGAGGTTTCAATGACCTCTCGTAGTGCCGGACTCCCACGGGCTCAATGTCTCCGAACTACCGGCTAAAAAACCTTAAATCTCCTTGGAGACTAGGCTGGAAGGGAGCGCGGCAGTGGTCCGAAAGTCAGTGCTCCGAAAGGCACTGGTCCGAAAGAAATTACATGGTCAGGCACTGCTTCGAACGGCATAAGTTCGAAAGGCACTGGTTCGAAAGTCACAACTCCGAAAGTCACTAGTCAGAAACATTTTGTGCATCCAGGCACTGTTCCGAAACAATATGTGCATCCAGGCACTGCTCCGAAAGTTATAACACCGAAAGTCACTAGTCAGAAAAGAATGCAAGGGTCAGGCACTGGTCCGAAAGAATGTGCGTGGTCAGGCACTGCTTCGAAACGTGGTTCCCCCTCGCAGCGAATGGGCGGAGCTATACAGGTGTGGAGTGGGAGCAGCCTCCCGTCCCCCCTACCTCTTGACATGCCCCTACTTTTTGGCGCGGCGACGACAGTGTCGGTTAGTCACTTCTCATTCTCACTTCACTCAATCATTCTACGCTACCACCAGGACCAGGACCAGGGGCAGTTGACATCGGGGATACTCCCCAGGATATATTTTCAATCGCAAATGTTTTTAGTGAAGGAATTATTCTAATGCAAATTAATTTGCAGAGTAATGCAAATTTGTTATGCAACCTCTATAGAATTTAAGATATGTTGCCAAATAAATATCATGAAATGCCTATGCATAAATATCCAATCATAAATTTGCTATAGTAAGTGATTATATATCTCTTAAATTTATATTGTTTTAAAAAATCTTACTAATATTATAAAAATGTGAAAGTTTGTGTGTTTGTTTGTTTATTTGTTTGTTTGTTTGTTTGAAGTTCAATCAAGCATTAACCACTGGATTGATTGGGCTGAAATATGGCATGATAATAGCTCACATTCCCGATTAACATATAGGCATATTCTTATCTCAAAAATCCTTTCGGGCTCCGCCCCATATTGGCTCTGTAGTTCCCCATGTTAACCTTATGAGTATTCATATTTAAAGGGAATTACAGATTTTATTCAGCTGTTTCAACTAAAAAAGTTGGTTCTATGATATGCAAAAGCATTAAAATGTATAAGATTTACCAACAGGGTGCAGCACTATTATTATTTTTAATTTTTTTATGAAAACAGCAAATTTTTACCAAGTAGCAACAAAAAACCGTGAACGAAAAGCTTGAGTATAAATGCAATAAGAATTTTATATTTATATGCCGACCCCGTACGAAGGACGGGTACTCTGCAAGTATATAATATATTTGCAATTAGTAGCATACTAATGCATTTTATGTTAATTTTGCTGAATACACGACCTATGATTTATTATTACAATCTAAACAGAAAAAGGTGACACAACTGGATGTTTCTGAAAGTTTCCTGAATTTTGTTTTCTTGATCTTTTTATCGACGTCTGTATCTTTAGTTCTAAGGGTTTGCCCTGTAAAACCATCACAAAAATAATATGTTAACACATAACAACATGTTTAATCTCCGAATAAAAATCCCACAACATAAAATCGGTAGAAGGTTTACTAATCGAAAAAAACAGTTCTGTTCTAAAATAAAATCATTATAAATTATTATAAATTAAACTGTCTTATAACCTAACCAAACTTGCTGATAAAGGAAAAATCTAATGAAGGTTTACTAATAGAAAAATCATTCTGTTCGTAAAATAAAATTATAAATACCTTAAATTCCAACAAAAGATGTACAGTTAAGATTCTAAGCTAAATCTTCGATAAAAAGTTTATAGACTATAGTGTGATTCGAACCGGCAACTATAATATTATCAGCCAGGTACGGTACCCACTACGCCACCGAAGCTCATTGCCAAGCTCCATATCGTTGCGGTAACGGTGTTCCCCCAAGAAAGAGACTGATGTCACACCCATACAGCACACTTTCTCCTCAGGACATCCCACGGATATTGTGACAGGATATGCAAGATATCCCATAGTAGTCCTATGGTCAACCTGGGATATCCCAGGATATCCACAGGAATGCGTAATGTCCCCGCCCGGGGATGCTCGATCGATACTCCCAAAAGATTATAGTGCTGCACCCTGTTGGTAAACCTTATAACTTTTTAATGCTATTGCATGTCATAGAACCAACTTATTAGTTAAGTGCAGAGAGCACACTGTGCTCTCTGGTTAAGTGGCAAAGTAGCATAGTAGTAAGTGGCTCTCTTCAAGCCACTTACTACTGATCCAGGCAGTGCTGCTACCTTTGGGTGTTTCAGGGAACTACGTCCAATCTCGGGGTAACGTAGTACAATCACCGCTGCTCTTTTATTATTCATCAGATTGAAATATTTGAATGCCAATTGCGTTCGCTACGGTGCCGCACCGGCACACATTTCACCTGCATGTCCCTTAGTAGATTTATGCTTTTGATTCGGCTGTAGATAATTATTAAAATAAATGATTAAGAGAACTGTCCCCGGTTGGGTATCGTAAATGCAAATGCAATTATCTGCTTGCAATATTGAGTGGGCAAGCATTTTAATCCATTCCAAAGTCAATGCTATGCTACATCTGTGCAGGATCATAAGTCAAGTGTTAAATGTAGGGGTCTGACTTACGGGAAGTATAAGTGAGGCAACGATGGCGTCATAGTTTAGTTCAAAATTCCTCCGTGAACAGTGTTGTAGTAGAGAACACAGCGCGTAATTTTTACTTTACTATTAGTTAATTATAAAATTAAGAAAAATTATAAAATTAATCTTACAATTTTTTAATTATGAAATTAAACCGTCATAACTTAACCAAACCAACCAAACTTGCTGATATGAAAACTACTTTTGATAAAAAAGTTGGTGCTGCCAGCGGTATTCGAACCCGGTACCTGCAGATTTTACAGCCCGACATGCTATCCAATACACCACCGAGGCCGATGGATGGATTCCGTATCTTTCCGGTAATGGTGTTCCCATTACCGCGTATCCCGTATTAAAAATACTGGTGGACAGTACGAAAATGTACAATAGATTATGATTAATGACAATACTGTCGGTATGGCACTTAAATGCTTACCTACAAGTCCACCCAACACTTCCAAGAGGGTCGTGGCATTACTTCGTAAATAAAATCCATTTTCTTTGTTTGAAGTTCATTGTTGGTGATGGTGAGTTAATGTTGTTCAAAGGTTTATTGCGGGCATTTTCCATGACGAATGTAAAAAACAATACACAACGTTTCGGGATCTGGAATCTGATCCCGTCTTCAGGTGAAAAAAAAACACATTACAACTAACAATACACAAACGCCCAACCTAAGTTGGAAACACTACAGAGGGTAGTAGTAAAAAAAAAAAACAACTTAGTAACTGTTCTGTACAAAGAAATAATATCATGTGGATCACGTTCCCTTTTTATATATGGTGTATTACATGCACTTGTTGTCAGTTAGCGTCCATAATCAACGGCAGTACAAAGGGGTTTGAGAAGATATCAAACATATTCCCGTATTAAAATTACTGGCGGACAGAACGACAATGTACTATATATTATAATTAATTACTATACTGTTGCTATGACACTTAAATGGCCGGACAAGTCAACCCAACACTTCGACTTTCTAGATGGTGGCGTGTTGCCGGGGTAGCATCTTGACGACAGCCCCTTACTATTAGAAGAGAGAGAGTGTCAAATTTTGTTCTATCTTCTCAGTTTTCTAATTATAATTCACTTTATCAATTTACTTTACGCGTTTACTTTAACATTCGAATTTTGTTATTGTTTGAGGACTTTTTTTTTGTCCTAACAACTATTTATGTTTTACATATGTTAAGGGAGTTGAATTTTGATTGAATAGGCCTACCTACATTTTAAAATGTATTTAGATGTGTTTACTTCATTTTCTTGTAGCAGTAGCAATCGCTTTACTCATTGAAACTAGCATCCAATTAAGTTTCATCTGAGGATTCAAAGTAGCCTATAATGAATTAAACTTGCAATATTTATTTTGACATTTGGTTAGGTATTGTGTTATGGTGTCTCTCATTTGCTATCTTATAATTCCAGTTATTAGTCTTTAAAAGGAATTAAACGTAGGCGACCAACCGAAATAAAAAGACTTATTCATCATCAATATTATTCATACTGTGTTGTATAATCTAATTCCTACGGGAATAAATGAAATGCTAAGTTCCTTCCTATAGGTAACGTAACTGTAAGTTTTCTTTTCAAGCAGGAGCATTAAACTATAATGTATTGTTATCTTAAAAAACAAACGAACGAGATCTAATAAATAGTAATCAATACCAACACTTGGATATAATTTTAGCAAGTTTCCCAAAAGAGAATAAGTTATTACCGTAGCATTCTAATAATAGGATATTGCTAATCTTAGGTAAGTTGGTGTTTTTGGATAGGCCACATTGATTTCAATTAAGAAGATGCTAAAAAAAATAATAGCAATGTTAACATCAGACGGAATGAGCTATACAACTGGCATAATTAAATTTAGATAATACTATATGGATAGGAAAACTAACAGTACCTAATTAAAATAAGGGGTATGTTTACGAAAAATCGACTTACTTGTTATTATTGTGTCTGAACATGTAAAATATCATTTATTTCCACATAGCTTTCTGCATTTAACTATAACGTTTTTTTTTCAAAATTACTGTAAAACTGTTGCCTAAATATAGGTAGATTGAAATTCACTATTTATTTTTCCAGAAAACACTAGGCCTACCAGGAGATTTTTTAAAAGGATAAATATATACTGAAGAAGATTAAAGGATTAGTTTGGCTTACATAGGATTCTTTAACTTTTAATAATTGGTCTGCAAATAGTTTATAATTAATTACATAACATCATTAAACGACTAATCTAGTTCTATCAGTGTTCAAAGGAGGCTCTGGATTGGAAGAAATCGCTCCGACGTTTCGTTCCGATTTCAATTCCGCTGTCCCGATTCAAGATTCTTTGCTCTGTGTTCCAGGCAGACGACACAAGGCGTTATATTCGGACCTCGGCTATATTCGTTATGGTTCGGAAGCGCTCGGGATGGCGTGGTGGTGCTGGGTTATTCCTCCAGAGAAGGTCTCGCCAATGACCGTGGCATTCTGACTCCGCCCACCACTGACACACCCCTCCTTCCCCTACAACGGGTCTCCGCCTTCGGTTCTTGCTCCTCCCTCAACCAATGTTGGAGCCCAGGCGTTATTCCGAAAGGCAGTGGTCAGAAAAGAATGCATTGCTAAGGCACTGGTTCGAAACAATCTGCACGCTCAGGCACTGCTCCGAAAGACAGTGGTCCGAGAGGCAGTGGTTCGAAAATAATACAAAGATGAGGCACTGGTCCGACAGATTTAGCATGGTCAGGCACTGCTCCGAAAGGCAGTACTCAGAAAGGCAGTAGTCCGAAAATGATTTTCGAACCAGTGCCTTTCGGAGCACTGCCTTTCGGACCACTGCATGGATCTCGGCTGGAACGGCTGGAACTGTTAAGCACAGTCCTTCAGACTAGGCCTTTTATATAGACCACTGAAATTTTTATTTTTAGTTTATCTCTAAGGTTTTCCTAAGGATTTTGCCCACATTTTGGAGTAGGCGAACTGCTCAACACAGTTCCAGGTCCCCCTTTCCCTAGAGCATAGCTCAAACGATGTTTTTGGGAGTGATGACGCCTGTCACAAAAGGAGAAGGGGTGCTCGGTCGTGTCTCCAATGCCAGGACAGTACAAACAGTCAGAGCTGCCGACCCGGTCCGTATTTACCCGTGACCCGAAAAAACTGGGTCACGAAATACCCAACCTCACCATGCTCCCATTCCACCCATGGTCAGATGCTGGGAATGATCCTGGTGGTCCAACACCCCTGGTCTCAGCGTTCTATTTGCGTTGCCAGCGGTCGAAACTGCTGTCGCGTTCTTCTCTGTCAGCAGTCTCTCTATTTACTTCAGGTCTTCTTGCGGTTACCTGTCGCTCCCTCGCAGGACGGGAGCAGGCTCGGAGACCGTGTTGTAGGCAGAAGTAACTTGCAAGGGCCCTCAATGCTAAACGGGAGAAAGCCGGTCACGGAAGACACACCTCTCCAGCACATGGGCCCAGACCTCCGCACCTTACAAGAGAACTGACTTCCGACAGACATCAGTAGGTGGCGTTTGCCGGAGCGGGAACTGCCGACGCATGACACAAGCCTACTAAGGCCAGAGACTCCCTTGGTGGCCTTATGAATGGTTCGCATGATCTTCTCGCTGAAAGACATCTTGATGACTACATGTATCATAAAACTAAATTCAAGGTATTTAGCATATGGCTTGGTCTCCAGTTGGGCATGGTCCCCTTGCACTTGCACTGGAAGGACGGTGAGAATCCTCTTCATGGTTAGGACCATGATCTCCGTCTCTCCGACCGCCAGTGACAAGCCGTGAACCTGCATCCATACGTTGACTCGGAATATCAATACTCCGAATGTTATATCTGCCTCTTTGACTGCAACAGAGACGCTACGTCGTTGACGTGGCCTACTAGGTTGGGTCTCATAGATAATTTTGAGTCTTAGTTCACTGTCTTACACGTTCCAGAGATCCGGTCCTAGGATACTTATGCAGTCCCAAAGGTGATGGAGATCCAACGCTGACCTTTAGTTATGTCAAAAAGGAAGACATGGTTTGGAAAGGTAGGACTCGATCATTCACAGGAGGTAAGGAGGTAACGCGGAACGTGTGCTCGCAGCATATTGCTCCACCTGGAGGAGTTGAACGCGTTCCTCAAGCCAAGAATGGCGAGAATAATCACGCGACCAGTGATTATATTCCACACCCTACACACTGCCTCAACTACCATCATCAAATATATCATCAATGGCCAAGTGGCCGGAACTAAAACTGTGCTGCTGCTGGGGAAACTACCCGCAGAGACGAAAGATCAGTCTAACACGAATTAGCTTCTCCGCTTTGCCGGTGGTGTGGAGTATGCAAAGGAGGGGGTGTGAATGACGAGGGGTCCTTGGTGCACTTTTCATCTTGGGAATCAAGACAAGGAGGGCCAACTTCCATGCCGACAGAAAAACTCCTTCAGCCAAGCAGGTTTTTATCTATCCTAGGATGCTAGGCGCGAGCCCAGGATTGTTTTTAACATTACTTCAGGCTAGACCTAGGGGTTGTGGCGTTATCACTTAGGGTGATTTGGTGGGATTTAAACTCGGGACCTCAGAGACCGAATTCTCGTGCTATAACCACTTGACCAACTCTTTCCCCTAAGCCAAGCAGGTGTTCAACTTATCCAAAAGTAGCTATGGATTATACTCAACGACGAGCTTGAGGTTTTCCGCATAATGCCAACAGGGCCGGCTGCTCTTCGGTTTCTAAGGGATCGGAAAGCTGAAAAAGACATTTTATACTGTATATGTTTGAAATATTATTTTCTAAGAACACAACTGGAACTAATCTTCAAAGAAGAACAAAGTTTTGAAATTTACGGAAATTAAACCTAATTCTTAAAGCTATAGCACCAGGCTTCAGTCTTTATTTGTGGTAGCACCAAAACCTTGACAGAAGCCATATAATGCCCCGGACCCGCCACTTCATGCAACAAGTGGTACACACTCCTGGGTGGCTTTGCGGTAATCTCACCAGTAAATGTATGATTGCCAACAGATCCCCAACATTGTCTTGATCTTACGACGGATCAAAAATGTTTGAATTACTACGTAAAATTTTAATTAAAAATCATATCATGAACAACTGAATACATAAAACTGTTAATTATATTTTAAAATGTTTAGAACGAAAGCATACATCTATTGACTATACATGTTTTGAAAGACATCTAGCCATACTGGACTCTACGTGAACCATTGTACGGCGCAGCAATGAAAATAACTTGTTTACTATCCTTTTTCTCTAAATCTCAGCACTATTTATCACAACGTTTATCAACAAAAATTAGTTCGTGAAATAAATGCAAAAGGCGGCACAGGCCACTAGTTAGTTCTCACTAACTCTGATTCAAACTCACAAGTCTTATTATTTTAAAGTACTACATCGTTATGATATAACTGACCTATCCAAACTGATTGGCTTGTATATCCCAGTCCAGTGAGGCGGCTGCGGATGAAGACGGCGATTGAGCCAGAGAAAGCAGCGTTGCCACATCTTCGCCAGAGCTACACACAAGGCTAGAGCCACAGTCACACTTGGCAACATTGTCATCCACACTACCTGTAAAGGATTACAGTGTTCAGACAATCAAGACATTATGTACCATGGGGATGAAAATGGCAATTGAATCACATATTGCAGCATTGCTGTCTATGTATCAGAACTAGAAACATGGATAAAACAACAATATCTATTGATTACGTAATAACATGCAATGCTTTGAAACTGTTTAACCTATTTACCTCATTTTTCGTGAATCCAGTTACAGCTAATTCGTTGTTTTCTGAAACTAAAGAAAACTGCTTAGCATTAAAACCCTCCTCAAACATGTGGATTCTGTTATTTAAGATAATGCTTTACTTAAACTTATACATTATAATAGTCTGAATAGATTACTCTAAATCTTTAATAATGCTACTATAGTTAAAGTTGTATACCTGTACGAATATGATATATTTATTATGTAGCTCCCCAATGACAAATATCAGCTATGCCAAGAATCGATCCTTCTCATAGAGGAATTCGAATTTAGAATGCCCTAGACCCAACACATCTTGTATCAAGTGGTACAAGGGCCACCCCTCCCCCCCCCATGTGTGGGGTGATGTGTGGGGGGGGGGTTGTATCAAGTGGCTCCTGGGTGGCTTTGCCGCAATCTCACCAGTAAATGTATGATTGCCAACAGATCCCCAACATGTGTCTTGAGTCCACCACCTTGACAGAAGCCATATAATGCCCAGGACCCGCCACTTCATGCAACAAGTGGTACACACTCCTGGGTGGCTTTGCAGGACTCTCACCAGTAAATGTATGATTTCCAACAGATCCCCAACATTGCCTTGAGTCCACTACCTTGACAGAAGCCATATAATGCCCCGTACCCGCCACTTTATGCAACAAGTGGTACACACTCCTGGGTGGCTTTGCAGGACTCTCACCAGTAAATGTATGATTTCCAACAGATCCCCAACATTGTCTTGAGTCCACTACCTTGACAGAAGCCATGTAAAGCCCCGGACCCGCCACTTCATGCAACAAGTGGTACACACTCCTGGGTGGCTTTGCAGGACTCTCACCAGTAAATGTATGATTTCCAACAGATCCCCAACATTGTCTTGAGTCCACCACCTTGACAGATGCCATATAATGCCCCGGACCCGCCACTTCATGCAACAAGTGGTACACACTCCTGGGTGGCTTTGCAGGACTCTCACCAGTAAATGTATGATTTCCAACAGATCCCCAACATTGTCTTGAGTCCACCACCTTGACAGAAGCCATATAATGCCCCGGATCCACCACTTCATGCAACAAGTGGTACACACTCCTGGGTGGCTTTACGGGAATCTCACCAGTAAATGTATGATTGCCAACAGATCCCCAACATTGTCTTGAGTCCACCATCTTGACAGAAGCCATATAATGCCCCGGACCCGCCACTTCATGCAACAAGTGGTACACACTCCTGGGTGGCTTTGCAGGACTCTCACCAGTAAATGTATGATTTCCAACAGATCCCCAACATTGTCTTGAGTCCACTACCTTAACAGAAGCCATATAATGCCCAGGACCCGCCACTTCATGCAACAAGTGGTACACACTCCTGGGTGGCTTTGCCAGAATCTCACCAGTAAATGTATGATTGCCAACAGATCCCCAACATTGTCTTGAGTCCACCACCTTGACAGAAGCCATATAATGCCCCGGACCCGCCACTTCATGCAACAAGTGGTACACACTCCTGGGTGGCTTTGCGGTAATCTCACCAGTAAATGTATGATTGCCGACAGATCCCCAACATTGTCTTGAGTCCACCACCTTGACAGATGCCATGTAATGCCCCGGACCCACCACTTCATGCAACAAGTGGTACACACTCCTGAGTGGCTTTGCGGGAATCTCACTCATCCAGCTGGTGTTGAATACTGGCTTCAGGTTGGATGAACGCATCATCTCTTTCCCCACTCTAGGAAAAGGACAAGATTATTAGATCAAAACATTATTAATGCTACATGTAGTAAAAAATCAATTGTAATAAGGTTTATGACGTAAAGTCATATGATGAAATGAAGAATGTGTCATCTCTTTCCCCACTAAGAGTTTTCATTCAGTCTTGCCTTACTAGGATTATCGAGTTCTAATCAGAAAAAATATAAAACATAAACTTCAAGAAGAGTCAAGGCAACGATATTGAATTTTCAAGATAGCAACATAAATTTTCCAAAAGGAAAGAGGTTTTAACAGTACTTCTACGGGTTTTCATCTATAAACAAAATCATAATTTTCCCTGGGAATCTTATTATTTTTGGGCTATCTTGCGAATTTCTCATGTAGGGAATAAGCTATTACGAGTTGCACTGTAGAGTTCAAGTGAATTTATATTTCTTGTTTTTGTCTGTTTTTTAGTAATGAACATGTAACGTTCGTGTTTCACTGTAAATAAGAGCAACGTTAATAATGAAACTTTATCGTTTTATACATGTTACAAAGAGTTTCAGGGCACATCTTTGTTTCCTGGGATTGAAATTAGAGATATCAAAACTCCTCTTGCAGGATTTTGAACACATTCTTTAATCACAAAAGAAAAAAACACTTTTCGATAGACGTACACATTTATTAGAGGGCTTCAGAAAACGCTATGTTTTCGTTTTAACTAGTCAAATCTCACATAATGATCTAATTGGAAATTTGTTTTGCTTTGCTCCAACCGTGATGGATAAAATATAGTTTACTGATTTCGGGAACACAATAACTACAATAATGAGAAGTGTCAGTAGGTTGATGAAAACTCAAATTTCCGATTTGTTGGATATGCCATTGTTACATTTGATTGGTTTACGTTTCTAACACGTCTCAAACCACCAATTAGCTCAACAAATTAGATTACATTGGGTTGTATTTATTTTTAAAGTTATATTTTTTCATTTTATAACAATGCCCTTAACTATAGGAAACATTTAATATATTATAACCTTAAGTAAAAATACACAGTCGTTTTTTACAATGTATTGTTATGGTCCTTTGAAAAACTTGGCCAAAGCTAACAGTTTATTGATAAATCTCAAATTATTCAGTAAGTCCTGTATTTTTTTTAATGATCAAATGAAGTAATTTAGTTAATGACCTAAATGTGTTCAGAAATAATACCAATGCTGTAACTGTTAATGAGTATTACAAGCTTTGCTCTTTGAACCAAGTAACATTTGTTTTCATTGGCTTACAACTGTATAAACTCTTCAACATAAGCTGTTATTTAACTCCTTTAGTCGTTTAGTTTTCACATTTCTCATTCCAAAAGACAAATTTGTCGATATCTCTATGGTTTAGCAATTTATTTATTTTACATATAATAAACGTGGTAAAATGTATTTTACAGTAAATTGGGCTTACGATCTTGTTTACTTCTTTTAGCCTTTGGAATTTCCTTTTAAAAATTATCTACAAGAATATTTTTTTAGTAGGTCATCAACGTGTTACATGGTATTCAATTGTGTAAGTTTTTTTTTTTTTTTTTTTTTTTAGAAGTTACAACTAAGACTTCTACTTAGTATGGGAGGTTGCACAACAAATATTCATTTTGTTTTATGGGTAGCCTCCGGATTATCGAGATACAATTAAAGTGGTTTAAATACCTGTAATGTCGACAATCCCAAGTGGTTGTGTAACAGCTAGTTTCGGCTCATAATGGAGCCATCTTCAGGTTTTTCAAGGACATTATCACTTCTTCTGAAGGTCATCAAAGTTCACAAATAATTTACATACATAAAAAATTTAAAAACACGTAACACGCATGCCTAGGCCTAGATTTAACGACATGACCGGCGGGAGTTTACGTCTAGACTCTAGAAATCTAGACGTAAACTCCCGGCGATCACGTCGTCACCCTAGAGGTAGCGCATGCAATGGTAGGTATGTATTGCATGCATATTCAATAAACCTTTAGGCAGATGTATTGTTTGACTCTGGTTATCCGTTTGAGTTTGGGTTAGCTGCATTCTATTTCACTAACAAAGACCTTTATCTTGATGTGCATTTCAACCTATGGTTACGTTTAAGATGTTCTTCTTATTCCTAGTGGACCTTTGTACCAAGTTATATAGCTCTATCTATATCTTCGGATAGAATAAATTACCATGAGCCTTATATTCAAAGGATGAACGTTCACACATTTTAGGCTTCTAGATGGTTTCCTTAAAGGACCGAAAATAGTTGCCAAAACAGAGTGGCAATAGGTAGTTAAACCAATGTAGATTTATGAAAATGGAGGGTTTATAACTGCATAATATGAAATAGTGATGTTTATTCTTCCAAAAAATTCATATTAAAAGAAAATTAACAATCACTGGGTGAGTTCTAACCACAACTACTATGAAGAGACACATATTAACCATTTTTTTTAGTTATTATCTTTTAAGGGTCCAGTCTAGAATTACGTCACCCAAGTAAAAATCATTGGCAAGTAATATGAAAAAGAGTAATGTAAATCACATTTACTTTGATGTCAAAGTCAATAAGCAAAGCATGAACGATTTTAATTTTCCCTCATATCAGATGGGCATCATTGGAATATTACTAACATGATATTAAATTTCTGTATCAAGATTCTCCAAGGAATAAGAAATCCTGTACTCTGCAGTAAAACTTTACATAAGTTAATACGCTACCAACGTCAACCGTGCAGTGAAATGGAATAATTCACTAAACCTTAATGCATTTTATTTCATGAATATTAATTTAGCAAATGAAATTTCCAAGAAAGAAGGTAAAATTAATGTTAATAAATTCATCAAGTTATCGAACTTTTATTTCTACACGAATAGACCGTAAAACGATTTACTTACTTAATTTTTACTAAGAAAGTTTGTGTGATCGTGATTATTTGTAGGCTGATGGTAATAGATATTAGGAAAAAGGTAACATTAAGTCAGGGGCAAAATGGCCTAATATAATTTAAAAAATAAACAAAAAGAAGCATTTTTTCGTGGTAGGCAGCTTTTTAACCACGAATTTGTAAGTTGCCTCATATCAGTATCATGGTGAAAGCATTTTGAAAAGTTTAAGGGATGAACCAGTATAGTACTGTTAAATTTGATTTTAAATCTTATGTTATTGTATCGAAATTTTACAACACCACTACCCTAGATATAAGTCCATCACGCTAAGATACTTAGCCATTGCCTCACCTAAAAGAAACTTAACGATTTACAAAAAAGTTGCTCTTTATCTTAGCGTTAGCAAATTTAGCTATCTAAACTGTTTATAGATGATTCGTCGTATTTACCTTTTACCAAGGTAATTAGTCATGTATGAAATATATGTTGAAAAGACTCTTGAGTTGATCCTTGATTTACTACACACGAACAAGTTTGAAGATTTCTTGTCGATTGACGTATCCCAATGTATTTCCCAAAGAATCGATTCTCCATAAACTCGTTAGCTATCCTCAAAGATAGACGAACCAAAGATTAATATGACAATCTGTAGGTTCTGTCAAATCCATACGGTGCGGAAGTGGTGATTATTTTTGTATTTTTTGAAACGGAACTTATACAATCGTATAAACGAACTCATTGTAGTACTGTATATATTTTATTTTTCTCGTAAAAAAGTTTCCTAATACGGTGAACAGTATTTAAATACATAGAAGTTTAACTCAAAATGCTAGGCAATGAATTTGTAATTCAATTTGAATTTGTAATCTAAGTACTCGCTTTTCCTTGAGTCCTTAAACCATCTTGATTCCTCATCCTCTCACTAATCCGTTCTGCTACAACCGTTTGCAGGTATTTATTCAATTTTTACTATATCAGTAAGTAGAAGGATTTCATTATTGAAGATTGATAATAACACTACATATATGAGGAAAGTCATACCCTACGAGGAACGCAGAGATGTTAAAAGCCACGGCAGAGCGAGTGATGAGTCTCCAGGTAATGTTAACTGTGGTCTCATCAACAGAAGACACTCGTACTAGGGCCTGAGGTAGGGCTGCGGCGTGAAAACAGGTACAAACCTTCTCCACACACTCTGAAACCAACAATAACATGTAAACTACAGCATTAGATACAAATCTTCTTCAGACCCTCTGAAAAAATATGAAACAGTTACAAACATTCAAAACCCACTCTGAAACAACTTAAACAGATTATACTCTCTACACACCATGAAATGTACAGACACAGGGTTAAACCTTCTCAACACAGTTTAAACAATAGAAACCGATTCGACAGTTCTAAACACACTCTGAAACAACAGAAACAGAGATACAATCTTTATCAGCACAATCTAAAAAAATTATAATAAATAAAAAACAGAAACTCATAAAAAGTTTCTTAACACGCTCTGAAACAACTGAAGCCAGTATAAATTGTCCCTAAACGATCATAAACAACTAAAACTGGTATACATTTTTACCACACTTCCTAACGAAAAAGACGTTTGCAAACATTACTTGCATTGAAATGAACAAACACTTACAGTCCTCATTTGTGCACTCTAAAACAATCAAAATACGGCACTGCTAACAACGCTTGGATATGCTTGATATCGAGTGGGTGCTTATCATATTTTACATGACCCTATTAACGAGGTTTTATGGAGTTTTCGGTTACGAATTGGATTTTTCCGTTTTTGACCTCCAAAACATAAAATTTTGCAATTCATTGAAAGTATTTAGCTAAAAAATTGAATAACCTAATATATTGATGCGTTTTTGTACGCCTAAATGGTTAAAGAGTAACACAACTTTACAATCACCGGATTCGTTAACTGTCTACTTAGTCTTTATTTCTGTTACTTAATTATTTTAAGTTGAAACACATATTTCTTTACCTGGAACCGTGTAAAGAACTTCGACAGTTGTCTTGCCATCATGAGGATTGGCTTCAAGAGACACCTTATACCGACATCCGGGTAGAATGTGTAGATTGTCATGCGGCACGGAACTTCCTAAGTCCACAGGAACTTTCCATTCTGTTGCATCCTGTCATACAACGAACAATAGGCTATACAATATATAAAGCATATTTACAAACAGCTGAGTAGTCCTTACCCTGAAATTATAGTTAATAGTTTAAAGCTATAAACGGATATGAAACAGGACTCATCATTACCGTTCTGGTAATGAGCGAAAGTCAGTGGCTTCTTTATTGTTCGAAACTGGATCCAGCTGTCTATGACCATTGGCTTTCAATACAAGATCCTGGCTAAGGGAGCTGCTTATTTATTTATTGCCAACGGATTTCACCAATTTACAATATTGAATTACAATATGAGTTACTCATCATGACTGATTATACTAAGTAACAATGCTAAAGTAAAGAACAATACAACAAGGATACATGCAAAAACTATACCTAGGAGTAACAAGAAATAAATATAAGACATGATTGAATAAATAGTACATTAAGTTGAAGTATAAGAAATATATACATAACGAAGGCAAATGAGACTTATCTTAGTGATTAAAGATGCACAAGGTATCACACTCATTGCAGTGACTCTTAGTCAATACATGTACCTCCATATTACTTATGTTAAAGCTATATAGAGCTGCACTGTGTCAGTGTATGTTAATGGTCTATCTAATAATATTATGATGGTAAACATTTTACATTTTATATTGACGAATTTCATACAAATTATGAAAACAGAACCAATTTAGAAGGCAACACACTTTACTCCACCAACTTAACGTGTCCATCAAAATGGCAGTTATGGGTTTTCTTTCATTATTTTTTTGTAAGAAAGTATAAAGCAAAGAGGGTAACCCCCAGCTCACGTTAAAATACTCCCAGAGAAAAACCTATCTATTTTGATGTTCCAAATTCAGAGCCAGCTATCCTTAAGCGGGCTTCTAATATCCTGCAGCGATAACAGTTTATCAACACAGCTACATAAAGTATTAATTCAATTCTGCACTTATTTTGCATCAATATTTCGTTCAAGCGCATAATGTATTTATTATATTAGTGATTTTTTTCTATTGTGCAGATCGAAAACATAATACATGAGTTGGACTTTGGCTTTAAAGTCGCATTTTAGAGCTAATTACGCATAATTCTGCATCAAAACTTAATTAATAACTCAGTCAGGGTTTTATTAATAAAACAAAAACACTTCGTTCACTATTCAATCAAGCTTTGTCCCCGGGATGAGGCAAATTACTTACTTTATCAGGAATATGGCTGTAGTATGGGTCGGTCTGGCAGGCTGGGTGATTTCTACTGTCTGGTTCTACATGGACATTGTAGCTCTGTGGATGTTTACCACCTTAAAAAAACTAATTGTTATTATTTAACTTTTACTTTATTACTATGACAAGTCGTTAGAGAACCGTATAAGTTTAATTTCTGTATATATTTTAGTCAAATAAAGCCGTAGATTTGATTGCCTTTATTTTTGTTATACCTGTCATACTTTCACATTGTACGCACCTAATTCTCATAAGAGGTTGCATTTTTTAGGTTTAACTAGTTAAAACTTGTCCTTTCTTACACTATTATGTTAATGGGATAGATATCTATTTAATTTGGATACAGGTAGGGACGGTTCTAAAACAGTTTTATTGAGTATGGAGAAACTATATTAATCATCCTTTAGTTCATAAATAATAGTCAAATGAATTACAAAATTGCCTAGCCTATATTAATTTTTATCCTTTACAAAAATGTAAAACAGAATGTCTTCAATATTATTATTTGTATACATTTCTACAAATGAAATTCTAGAAATTGATCGCCGGCAATGATTTGACCCATAAAATACGTATTCTGTGAAGAGAACACTTTTGAAAAATGATCAAATAAAGAACCGTCTGGTCTGGCTAGGAAGTTTTATAAAACCACACACTTCCACTGTAAGCTGAATACACTTATCAATGCCAAAAACTAATTTTCAAAATCAAAACAATCGTTTTTATCGCCTGTTTTTCCTGGTATTGATTATTGCCATTGGTTAAACCGTTACACATCTTTTAAAATTATAAAATTAATTTTTAATATCTCTTATAGGTACTGATGGAAACGAATAATGTAAAGGGCAAAGGTGGAAAAGACGCTAACATAGATAAATTACATCGGACTTCTTACAACTCGTTTGTCATCTTTGACATCTAGATGTAGAAACATACTCAGTAAAATCTTTGCCTACGAAGGAATCTCATTTTAGCTTCAACAGAAAACAGATTAAACCAATCACGATTTGAGGGCTACAGTATTAATAAATACAGTATTAATTTTATTTCTGGTCTCTAAATAATACAAAATTTGACAAAATGGTATTACGTATCTATTTAAAATGTTAAAGATATTAGTCTAACTTTTCATAAAAACTGTATTATTTAATTTTGTAACTTAGTATTGCAATTGTTAACCAATATCTATTTTTATTCAATACTTTACAGTTAGACATCAACTGAATCTTCTCAATCATGTAAGTGTTAACTTTGATTATAGAAGCTGACAAATACAGCAAGCAATCAGTGCAGACAGAATCGATCAATTTAATAGTAATTTACAAACGATCCGGGTTGAACCATCGTTTATAGAACTCACTAGCCGTTTATATAACTCACTAGCCGTTTATATAACTCACTAGCCGTTTATATAACTCACTAGCCGTTTATATAACTCACTAGCCGTTTATATAACTCACTAGCCGTTTATATAACTCGAACTTGGAGGCGTAATATTGCTCATAAATATATGACACGATTTATTTCTACAGATTTTTTAACAAGAGATTATTTTATGTTGTTGCCAATATTCCTTCCATTTTCTTAGATTTATTTTGATGACTAAACATTTTTAATGTAATGTAATGTGTCAATATTCCCTCCATTTTATTAGATTTATTTTGATGACAAGTTTAATATAATGTTTTACAACTCATTGTACAAGATTGTAAATTTGTTCTCGTTTGCAACTCGTTTTAGGGGGGTGAGGGGTATTGCATAAGAACTTCTTAGGCAAATAGACTATTTAATTGAATTATTTTAATTTTTTCACTTTATGTTGTTTTTTAATGTGGTAACTTTTTTGTTAATTTTGAGTAGAGCTTATAAATCAAGATATGATAAGATTATTACAGTTTCAACATTTGTATAAAAGTTTTGCAAGATAAATTTGAATATATATATAGGCCTAACATTATTTGTTATGTAAATTCTTTTCTTTTTGGCAAACATGGATCTTTTTTAGCTTACAAATCTGATAATCTTCTTTCAAGTAATACTTTTATTCAATAATGGTATTAAACCGAAAGGTTCTATGACTATGGATCAAACTAAAATGTTTTATCAGGAATTTACTTAATGTTTTGATCTTGAGATTCACTTAGATGTATTGAATTAGTATTTTTTAATGCCTTTGAAGAGAAATTATTGCCATAAGAACATACAGCATCTATCACGTAATTTGTTTATTATATAATTCATATTAATATTCCCCTCTGTGCAATTATGGGTCAATAGCTCAATAAAAGCTTGGATGAAACTCATTATTTAAGAACAAAGGGTCTTAAATAAATATCGAGCATGATTAAACTTCAAACTATTCAAATTACGATTGTTGTTTTAATTATAGGTTTACTACTACATTATCATATCCCAATTATGTGACTTTAACCTACACCATGTTTATCACGATCAACTTATTTCATAAATCATCTTTTGAAAATATGTGTCATTTAATAACTTTATTTTGAAATATGAAACTTTTAGAGTTGTAGTGACATTGTATTATTATGGAGATTTGGAGGAAATCTTTTGTGGTAACCTTTCTTCTTCGAACAGTTTACTTACTATGGTTAAATTTATTAGGCTATTAAAACTCATCCTCACTTATTATTCCACCCAGTGGGAATAATTTGCATACGCCCTTTATTCCCTTTACCTACAATTATTCACGATTATCTTACACCCACGGTTGAGAAGTTCTTCTTAACATTGTTCGCTCATTTAAAAAAGTTATTTCATTCATTACGAATTTGATCATTTTTACTAAAGTAGTTTCAAAAATAAGAGACTATATATAGGCTACAGTACAAATAATGTCATGGAATTTTGATAATTGTTTTGAAAATGAATTAATTTAGTGGCTAAAATAGATTTAAGAAAAAAAGTTATAGTTTTTGAACAAGTGGACTGTATTTTGTTTTATTTACATTATGAATACCTTACTGTTTCTGTTAATTCTTCTTTAAGTTAAATATAATGAGGTTATAATGATTTTCTTGAATTTAGTTTTTCATAGTGACACTTTCTTCATACATCTTCTTTCAGTTCATTCTGTCTTCATCTTCATCACAGTCACAAAAGTCTCAGATGTTGTTTTTTTTTTTTTCAGATTTAATAGTAGAGTATTTTTAGAGTAGTTAAACTGCTTGCATTTACAGTGTTGCCAATCTTAATAATGAAATATTCTTTTAAGATACAATGTGATATGATATAAAAGAATTTGATTTAATAACATATACTAGTTTGTAACATTGAATTTAATTGTAATTTATACTTTAATAATAATAATAATGGTAATGAATTTTGATTGACTTGTTTGGAATAACTTAAATATAGAAAACTAATAAATACTTAAAAAATAGTTTACACGATAAATCCCCTAGAATATTTACTTTTAGATCATTAATTTCTTTCATATTCTCTTTCTTAAAGACTGTGTACCCTCATTGATCCGGAGAAGGTTCCACTGTTTCGGGGTTAAATTAAGCTATAAGCTAGCCAGAGGTCTTTATGGCAGTACTTGATCATTACCAGGTGAGGATGATGTGAAAACTGGCGCAAAAATGAATGCTTTATAGTGCAGAAATAAAGCTTGGAGTGTTTGGACATTGTCTGTTAGCAAGGCAAGGCAGGCTAATGTAGTCTGTGTTATATTTTCCTGTGCCGGTCTGGAGAGTGAGAATGAGAATGGGAATGAGGGCCCCAACAATGCCAGACCACTGTCAGTATCAACACCATGTCAGAGACCAACAAGTTTCAACCCACTTTTTGGCTACAAACAAACATTTTTTAAGAGCACAACACATTTGTGTACAGCAATCATACATAAGGCTACCATATTGACATTGCTATCTTGCCTCGCCTTTCCGACTTATTTGTAAGAAACTAATGAGCTGCTGCCAAATACCTTTTTGGTTCAAGCAAAGTCCGTTATAACAATGCATGGGATTAATACAGTATTACGCTGGAAGTATAAATCAATTTCATCTCTTAACAAAAACAAGTAAGTCATCATAATGTGAAAAACAAGTGTAACCGAATGTTAATTTTATAACCGAAATATTAGTACATTGAACACAGTACCTTGTGGAACTTTCCAAGATATCTTCAACTGAAGCAATCGCCTTTGGGTGTTGAAGACCACAGCAGTGACTGTTACATTGGTTGGTGCACTCGCCGGCAAAAACCCATTTTTGGTTACTGCCAACACCGACGCTACTGACTCTGGCCCTACGAATTAGAAAAGTAAATTAATACGCGAAATCAAATTTTAATTTTAATTTAGACTAACCGTGTTAAAAATAAAGTGCATAACTATTGTTCAACTTATTAGGAACCAGAGTTAATAAGCTTAATAAGTTACATAGTTTTCTAAGAATAGTAATCACTCAGTTAGACATAAAAATGCAATAAACCATAGAAAGATTAAAAACATAGCCGCTAAAAAGATAGAACATAACGCTAAAAGGTAGAGATACAGGATTATTTTTTAACCCGTCGGGTAGTTTATTAAATTATTATTGTCCAATATTTTGAGAGAGAAAAATTATTAAAGTCAATCCATGATTTGCTTGTCGATGTTGCTACATTATGTATTAAAATTATCAAAATCTATAACAGTATGATAGAACAAACTTTCAAATTTAGAGAATATTTCCATTTAATAAATACTGAGAATTTTCATTTATTCATTCACAGCAACACAATTTTACATTTGTTTGAGTTATATGAATATTCGAGTACGTAAAACATAAAACTCACGAACAAAAGTATCAAATTGATTATTTTGCTGACCAAATTATTATGATCAGATAAAAAGAAACAATTATGAATCATATTGCCTAGGTTCAGTCAATATATTGAATAGTATAAAAAATCTATAGCAATACGTTTTCCACCATACACCAATTTTTGCTGAATATAATTGGTATACATTGTTGAAATGCTCTTTTCTCTGAACAAAAAAACATAATTATCATATTGATCATATTAATCATAATACCAGTCAATCAAATTGCATCCCTTAGTCCATGCAGGGATGCAATATGGTTAAATGGTGGCCTTTCTACGTGCCTTGATTAAACATGCAAGCCTTAACAATGCCCGATTGTTCTTGTTAACTACTTTGAGCAGCATGAAAATTCCAGGTAGTCCTAAACCAAGTACTTTGGGAATTCTCTGTATACTTTACGTATATTCTAGCTGTTAACCATACTATTATAGTTTGTCGGCTATAATTAGTACAAAGAGGATTTCATTTTACAATAACCTTCACACATATATGTTTCCAAGGACAATGGTCGTGCTGTATAATGTACATGTAAATTGTTTAATATGATACATTTCGAGAAAGGGTCTATTTACTAGAATTTTGACTTACCTCAAAATGTCCAAAGCTTATATTTGACAAAAAAAAAATAAAACCATACATAAAAGACGTAAACTGAGTGGTGTGTGAAGAATCAAATGGTTAGATTATGTCTACGAGAAAAATCTTATAAAATGTTTATAACGTCCAAGAATATTAAAGCTCGTTCCAATGATGATATTTAGTATTCGCGTTTAGCCGTTTTATAGTTAACCCGTCCAAAGAACAGCTGTAACATGCACATATTTAATTTATGTTTTTGTTACTGACCTAAGTATAAAACAAATAGAATTTTGATATTATTATCCTTGGTGTATTGTTCTTAGCCATTGTTTAGACATACAGTTCTTAGACTTATCTCAAATTATAGTCTTGGACAAAACGAAATAGACCAAATATGTACGCTACGAACGTTTCACTTACCTGTAGTATTTTTAATAAATTGATACTTCAAGGTCACCATTTCCTGAAACAATAATCATGCATTTAAAAGATATTTCATTTTTTTAATATTTATATGAATGCATGAACTCTTAAATATTATTTACTCGAAGCTATGACACAATATTTTCCATCTCCCTTATTAGTACCTAACATTTAAATTTTTAATTACAATAATTGCTTTATATTTTATTGGGTAATTTATCAAAAAGCTGGTGCACCGTATTTGTTTGTATATGATTTTAATCTCATGTTAATCCTGAAGTAATTTGTTGGATTAAAATGTACGTATAAAATAGGTCCCGAAAGAGAATACTGAACACTTTGACAAAGTCACTGATTTAGACAAATTTGCGTCAGGGACTGATATGCTATCAATAATATAATTGTTTTAATTTGATTACGTTGGATCTTTCCATAATGAAAATTATTTGATAAATTCTAAATGATTTATAAATAGCTTGATGTTCCAGTACATAGACTTTAAATACTATTTTTAAGCCGTTGAAATTTAAGTTATTTAGTCATCCTACATTATATTTAAAAATATTTCGTGATAAATAATATTAAACAGACATAACAATTTGAATCAAGTAAAAAGTTTGTTTTATATGTGTAAAATAAATTACTAATATTCACTTTACATCCAACCTAAACATGGCTGAAAAGCGACCAAAGTTAAATGCGCAAACATTTCGGAAGCGTTTGACTCCGTAAATGAAAAAGTTTCAAGCTTCGTTTTAATAAATTATAAACGTTTAAGGGTAATTCAGTTTCCATGCACCTAAAAAGAGCTTGCCACATTTAAACTAATTTCCCATCTAGTTTTATTTGTAATTTAATTTGTAAACATTTTCACTTTTATAAAATAACGCATAAACGCACAAAAGCGTTCATTTCTATGTTTTATACCTTTCGGTGTCAACAACTCTGCGTTATAAACAACTTATGATCTGCAATGAAAGAGTTTCCTTTGTAGTAGATCAAAGTTGAAGTCATGTTTTAAATGCAATGCATTGCATAACATATCACTAACTAAAATGTCAATGCAAAAATCTTTTTGCTAAAAGTAAAATGTACGTGCTTATACTTTTGTTTAACTGACACTAACAAAGTGCAGTTTGAATTAAAACGATGTTTCAGTCAATAGCTTTGTTTAACAAATCAATTACTGTAACTACACAATATACAAATTCAGTGTTTATCGCAAACGTTGCAGTTTATTACTACTAATATTGGATAAAGAGTCTAATCTCTGATACGGTATTTAAATACGTTATGCTAATATAAACACGTTACGTTTTAGTATCAACCTTTATGTTTACTAATGAAAATGGAAAATTGATTCTCTTCCGCTCCAGGCAACTTATATCTCTAATTTATGAATATTAATTTACACACAATTTTATTTAGAAAATAATATTGAGGTAATTTTAATAGGATTATTTCCACAGTAAGGCTTTGCGAAATCCCCATATTTATAGTAATTTAAAGGTTTATTAAAAAAAACGAATGTGTATGCAAGCACATACGCCACATTGTTCATTTAAAATCCTACAAGTTCTATGATGTTTGTAAAGTCAATTTTTTTATCAACGGTCACTTTTTGCCATAATTCAACCCATATATGGGTACGGTGTCTTTGCCGTTTCTTTTACGAATACAGGATGGAATGTGTTTGTTGCGCCTTTATTTTTTTTAAGTAAATATAATGCAAAATAAAAAGATCGCGAGGTTTAAAAATATTTTGTTAGGTCTTTATGCGAAAAGAATCTTGGTTTAAATCGTAAAAACCAGCAAAAATGTCTCAAACTTGGCAGCACACGTAGAAATGATTGAAAATTTTTGGATTGTCTTTAAGCCCTATCCTCAACAACAATCACCAATTATATAGTTCTTACTTACTAGCAAAACGTCAAATCAACAACACCCAGTTAATGTCAAGAGACCTCATATATAGAACCAAGACACGTAATTGACAGACAAACTTATGACTGCCATAAAAGTAAAAACAGAGAAAGAAGATTCGATATAGCCAGGGAGAAAATGATTATAATAAAAACCATTGAGAAAAGATGAAAAAGTACGGGGAAACAACTTTAGAAACCCTTAAGTAATCCTAAAGGGTACATTTGCAGTAAATATATTTCGTAATCTGCAAATAATATATTCAATTTGCACGTACGTCACATTGTATTTTTACTTAAGACAGAATCAATCTAAGTATCAATCCAAGGAGTTGATCAGTAAAGTTAGACTCGTCTTGTTTAATCAAGAGTCTGGGTTTGACATCAATATAAGTTAAGATATTATGTAATTAAAACAACACGTAGTTTGCCTCAAATAGTATAGTGCTTAGTAACGACAACAGTCTGATAATTTTGATAATATTATAAATTTTGAAATTACTTTTAAATAAACTTTTTTTTAAATACATAAATATAAATTCCATCCAACTAGAGTTGATTTTAATGCTTAACTGAGTGCACAATAAGCTGCAAAAGCTGTAAATAACTTTGTGAAACCTCTTAGTGTGGAAGAGAGATGCTGCCAAAATATACGCTTATCTGAAATTATTCATAGCTTTTTTCTTAAACTAGATTAATATTGATCCTTTCACTTCGATAATACTGTGCCCATGAATCAAGTTTAAAATGAAATTGTGATGTTGTTCTAAAAGATTGAAGAATAACAGATTTGCTGCGAGGAATTACGGTATAGTCCTTGTTTATATTGTAATTATTGAATATCGGGACCAACTTTATTACCATACAAAAACAAGAATCAATAGTGTCGTTCTATTACTCTGTTTTGCAAGTTTGATGGAAAGTATATTGAGTTCCCATACAGTCGCCAACGGCCTCGTGTTCTCACAACGGACCAGTGTTTTATTTCGGTTTTTAAAAACCAATTACTTTAAAAGCATCAAAGTGGAGAAAAAATGTGAATGAACTGACTTTTTCCAATGAAGAGCTTACATATAATCATTGACTATTGGATACTAAAGTTTTATTAATAGTCAAAGATATAATACAACTTCTTGGGCTTGGACAAAAAACTGTTATGTACGTTTTTAAAAATTTGTTTAACTTTTATTTAAAAATATAAAATTCACAATATTTAAACATTGCTGAGGATTGAGTAGAGTGTTTGGTTTCTGGTAACATTGTTGATCTAACCTTAATTTCAACTCAAGATGACAGATATTTAGTAAATTTTGGTTTATTTCCCAAGAAGACAATTTGTTTTGTGTCAAAAGGTTTTAGCGTCAACATATCTAATAAAACTATTTTGTCAACATTGTGATTGCCCCTTTCAATTCACCCCCCACTGGGACTTGAACTGGATTAACAGCAATCTTCAGCTTCGTATCTTGGTTATTGAGGTATTTTCCACAACCCTTATCTACACATTCAACAAC